CTATTCAGGCTTTTCATATTTTAAAATATTCCTTCGTAACTACCATAAACATGTAACATTAATCCATACGAAGCAAATGTATGTCAAAATAAGTTTGTAATATGAGCAGTTTCCGATAAATAGTCAATTTTGCATAAATCACTTTTTACGCTATTTTACCTTTAAAAGAGTCAATTATTATACGATTTTCAATTTTCTTTCACCATTTGATGCCCAATGTGACTTATGAATAGGTCAAACCTATTTACATTTCACTGTCACCGGAAATGATGTCATTTGGGCAAAAAGTGATTTTTTAGCCTTCAAAACAGATATTTTATTCAAATGAGTCACATTTGTTATTTCTTTATTTAAATTATATTTGATTCCAATCAACAAATAGAATGAAACAATTAGATCATACAGATATCACAAAATGTTTTGTAACTTGTACCGTTGTAGAGTAATAGATGATTTTCTACAAGTCACTTTTTCAAGGTTTTTGGTCTATAAAAGTGTCAGTTTTTAAACGCCCACATTTTCATGTGGACGTATATTGTCGTCGCCCCTGTCCGTCCGTCCGCCCGCCCACAATTGTTTGTGAACAGTCTACAGGTCACAATTTTTATCCGATTTCAATGAAACTTGAAATGTATGCTTATAACCCAAAGATCTCGGTATTATTATATCACCGTTAAACCCTAAGAACAGCTGAGTTCGAATTTCGTGAAAATCGGCCCAAAACTGACAGACAAAATGGCCGCCCTTCGTTCTCAAATAACGTAAAAATATGGTGTATCAAGGTTGTGGACCCTATAGAGGTCACAATTTTAATCCTATTTTGATGAAATGTGAAATGTAAGTTTATAACCCAAAGATCTCGGTTCGTTTCGATATTCGCGCATATCGGAACATAACTTCCTGAATTATGGCCCCTGATTGTACATAAAATCGCGTTTTTAGCTTGTGGACCCTATAGTGGTCATAATTTTTATCAGATTTAAAAAACTGTATTATTATATCACCGTTAAACCCTAAGAACAGCTGAGTTCGAATTTCGTGAAAATCGGCCCAAAACTGACAGACAAAATGGCCGCCCTTCGTTCTCAAATAACGTAAAAATATGGTATATCAAGGTTGTGGACCCTATAGAGGTCACAATTTTAATCCTATTTTGATGAAACTTGAAATGTAAGTTTATAACCCAAAGATCTTGGTTCGTTTCGATATTCGGGCATATCGGAACATAACTTCCTTATAATGGCCCCTGATTGTACAAAAAATCGTGTTTTTAGCTTGTGGACCCTATAGAGGTCATAATTTTTATCCGATTTAAAAAAACGTATTATTATTTCACCGTTACACCCTAAGGACAACTAAGTTCGAATTTCGTGAAAATCGGCCCAAAACTGAGAGACAAAATGGCTGCCCTTCGTTCTCAAATAGCGTAAAAATATGGTATATCAAGGTTGTGGACTCTGTAGAGGTCACAATTTTAATCCGATTTTGATGAAACTTGAAATGCATGTTTATAACCAAAAGATCTTGGTTCCTTTCGATATTTGTGCATATCGGCATAGGTGTACGAGCTGGTGCCCCCCATTTTGGGCACCAAATGCTGGGAAAATTTGGGCACACAATTGTACTTTGTAAAAGTTGTATAAAATAATATTGCGTTCTTGAATGTGTCCAATTTAACAGTGAATTTATTATTATGTAACATACCAAGAATCTAACTACATTTTTTGGGCACCAACTACCACCGCCCCCCTAGTCAAAAATTTCCCCGTACGCCTATGCATATCGGACTGTAACTTCCTGAATTATGGCCCCTTATGGTACGAAAAATCACGTTTTTACCTTGTGGACCCTATAGAGGTCATAATTTTTATCCGATTTTATTGAAACTTTTAATGTATGTTTATAACCCAAAGATCTCCAATATCGTAAAAATATGGTATATCAAAGTTGTGGACCCTATAGAGGTCACAATTTTTATCCGATTTTGTTGAAACTTGAATTGTACGTTAATAACCCAAAGATCTTGGTTTCTTTCGATATTTGCGCATATCGAATTGTAATTTCCTGAATTATGGCCCTTGATTGTAGGAAAAATCACTTTCTTTTTAGCTTGTTCTCTATCCATCTCTCGAAAATGTGGGCGTATCCTGCCTGGCAGCCGCTGGTTTAACTTAACGTCAAACAGTGGCTACTTAATCTTTTGTAATAATTTTAAAATATTTTGGAAGCAGATATTATGTTCTTTTGTTTGATATAATTTTTATATACGTGTTCGTTTTATTTATTTCATAAGCATAAGTTGAAAAACGTCAATTTGCCCTGTTTTGACGTTACGCAGAAGTTTTGTCACGTCTTTAAATTAGGGTACCCCACTTCAAATGCTCGGCGAGGTCACTCATTATTAATATGTGACCCCCCCATGGCATACTGAGTCGCAATGAGGAAATTTTGAAAATTGAGTTATTGTTATTTTCACATTCTCCGACTCATTACCTTCAATTTGATGTATATAGTTTGTTTGAATCGGGCAAAAATTGACTGAGTTGTGACTGCTTAAAGCCACCAAACTCACCAAAGTAAGTTTTGAGAAAAATCAAGTTACTTTAAAGATTTGGTATGTTTCAAAACAAAATCCCATAACAACCAAGCCATTTATTTGCTGTTTTGTCGTTGAATATTGTTTTCTAGAGGTTTTCAGGGGTGCTGAAGACGAGAATTGCAGTAACAATTTGATCCGACAATTTCCGCCATCTTTTTTTTCAAAATGGACGCCAAAATGACAAATTTTCGAGTTTTCATAAGTTATGTGTTTATTAATGTCATTGAATGGGTTTTTGGGGGTGCTACATCAAACAATTGCAGTATAAGAGTAAATCCAATAATAACCGCCATTTTTTTTTTCATAATGGCGACCAGTGTTCGACACAAACATCGGTCCGTAGGCCCGAGGCCGACTGATTTTTCGGAGGACTCCTGCTTGCCTATTTCACTCGGGTCCGCCGGGCCTTCGCCTTCTTTCTTATCTCGCATAGTTAGTGTCCACATACGACAATTCGGGAAATGCTAGAACTGTCATAGAAACGCAACCTTCGAGTCTCCGATAGTTGACGGTTATTGTTTGCTTGTCATCGACATGACGGAAGCTGCTGTTTTTCAAAACATTGACTCGCGTAACCAGCCTCTGATATGTAACTGTTTTTTTGTCGGCTTTAGCCGCTTGAACTTTAAACAAGCCGATTGGTAAAAACAATGAATCGGCCACTATGGTATCATAAATCAATCTACTTTCAGCTAAATTTAACGGATTAATTATTACTTTTTGATTAAGTAGTCAATCAACTTGCTTGTTGGCTACAATAACAGTCAAACCTCTTGGTATATATGGATTGCGAATCTCGCTCGGGAATCGCGCGTCTTCAACGCTCCGTATCGAGCCCAGGTACCGGTAGATAATAAAAAAATAATAATTGGATCATACATTTAATGGTTTCGCTGACCAGTTGTTACAGTTTAATATAATCCTCAGATAGAACACCGAATACACCGAAAAACAGTCATTAATAATATATTTTTCCGTCAAAATCTTCAATGCCAAATCCGCCGATGACACGTGACATCGGTTGGAATTTCTAGGTCAATAAGCCAGCGATGCTAGGTTTAGTTTTAAGTAGCGTTTACTGTTATGATTTTTTATTTGATACACATGCTGGCAGATGCTAAATTTTAAACATATTGTTATTATTATTGAAAACTATATGGCATAGTCGTATGGAATTTTATTTTAAAGCAATTTCAATTATGGTTGTCACGTGATCACTGTGCCCTGTGTCTCTAATGGACGAATGAATAAAAACATATTTGCAAGTTACGTGATAGACAAAAACTACAAATTGTGTTATGAAAAATACCACGGCGCTGTATCATTTTATATCCATCCGAAAAACGAAGACAGTAATTTATTCAGGAATATTACTGACACAAATTTCAAGCCGGAACGTGAATATGGAAAATTTTCCGAACGGTGTAGCTGTAGGCCTACCTGTTATTAAAGGTAATGGGCTATTGTGCGAGTTTATGCCAACGCCATTCCTCAACATTATCGCCAGGCATCAAGTTTTTTTTGTGTAACTGTTTGAAGTTTAACTAGTTTAATGAGAAAAACCCTAAATTATGTAGCCATGAATAGATTTGTTTCCATTAAATAAAAATGAAAGTTACTAAACCCTTAGTCCTTCTGTGGTGTACTGGCTTTATATGTACTTCCTTTCCTCTGATCGTTCTGCGCTTCGCTTGGAAACTATAAATATTATTATTATTGGTTGGGCCTGCGTGTCACCTGAAGGACCCATATGATCACGTGTCACACAGGCCCTGTGGGCCTGTGCTTGGAAAATGTTTGTTTCGGACACTGATGGCGACCAAAATGATAATCGTAATAGTAAAATTAATCCGAGAATATTAACCATTTTGTTTTATCAAAATGGCGACCAAAATGACAATTCTGTGTTTTTATCACCGTATATTGTAACCGTGTCATTTTATATGTTTTATTAGGCATAATGGTTGTAGCATCAGGGGTCGACTGGACTGTATCCTCCATCTTGTTTTTTAAAATGGCCACCAAAATGGCAATTATTGGAGTTCTTATACTTGGTACTCGTGTAATATATCATTTTAGAGGTTTTCGGGGTCCTGAATACAAAAAACATGGTGTTGGGTCGATGCAACGAATATTTATCATTTGACATATTCGATGATTTTATGGTCACCCATCAGTTATGGTCACACCTTGCAGGGTAGGATATACCAATGAAACGACGGTATTCAACACCTTATGCTATCAAGTATAAGAAAAGAGAACATTTTTCAACAGACAACAGTATGCTAAAAACTCTCATAAATTTAATAAAATATAATAGCAAATTGTATTATAATGCATCACAAATTACTAGTATTTTTAATAAAATATAATAACAAATGGAATAATAATAACACTCGAAATAGGATGATTTGTAAAAGAAAAGTAACTCAAGCACTGGAAATGTGGCCATTTAGATGAGCCAGTTCATTTTGCTACGATACGGTGGGGTGCGGAATCATTTAGCTATTGGGTCGGCCACGTTTCGCTGGTGGTGGAACAATATCACTGTTCGTGGTTCGACCGCGACCACAACCACGTTTCGCTGGTGGTGGAATATTCTCCATGTTCTTCGTTTGACCACGACCACGGCCAAGACCCTGTTTCATTGGTAGCTGATTATTTGTGGTTTGACCACTACCATGCCCACGTATCAACGTATCAACTCGCAATCGATCATCTCGTCATGGTTTTGGTTTTCATTAATATGGTGAGGTAATAAGGCGGTCGGCCCTAGGCATGTTCTGTCTGTTATCTCGTCAGGGTGTTCGTTGATATGACAGGGTTTTTCGACTGTCGGTCGTGGACATGTTGCATCTTGGGTTTCATCAGAACAGAATTCACAGATTTTTTCAAACAGGTACCACTGTCTTGCAGCCGTTAATCCTGGTGGAGGGATTATTAATGGCAAGTCTGCAGTTGGGACAACATTAACATCTTTCAACAGACAAACTTCAACCTCATCCGAGTCTCTGTATTCCTTACAAAAAACAACTCCTGGATTTTTGTGACAGAACCTGAAAATATCAAGAAAAATCATCTTACAGACTTAGTGATTGGGTTTGCAAAGCCATAAACAATACATCCAGTCTACAGAAAGAAATTGCAAGACATGTAAGAACAGGGATAAATTATTAAGAAATGAAAATTCAGATGTTTGAATAACAGACCATGGGTTAAGATGGCGTATTTTTCAGTCGTTCGGAACCACATAATACCACATAGTTATTGTGAATAAAATTAAAGATTTCTTGAACGTTCAATGAGCATATTTACCACCACCGATGTCAATGAGAAATTGAAAGAAAGAAACATACCTGAAGTGATATTTCTTTATACCAATGACAGCCTTGTAGGTTTCATTGAATTTTTGATGCCAGTTATATTGCTGGACAATATTTTCCTCCCCATCCATTGTTGGTTGAGCCAAGTTAACATCTGTTACTGTGCTTTGTTGTACTACGTCAGCTAACTCGGCTACTGAACAGACCCTGGATTTCCGGAATTTTTGTTTTATCAGGCCAAAACACCAATCCGGTGAAAATTTGGTATGACCAGTAATCAAAAAATTTAATGTTATAGACTTGTGTAAACCGTGGATCACCCTCCACGCTAGATAAGACAAGACAAATTTGTTTTTATTTTGTCCTGTGCAATTATCACAGTGCATGTCCAAATGTCTCTCACCCAATCCATATGCCTCATAAAAGTAATGAAGATAGCTAATGTCTACAATGCGTAAATGCTCTTCCTGTTTTTTTAGTTTGGCTGTCTTCACTATATCGGGCAGATTGGCGCTACGGTAAACTTAGTAGTTATTTTTTGGGCAAATCCAACACAGGTCTGTCATCGGTTTTGCCTGGACGATGAATGGTACCAGTGTGCTCCGGAGTTGACGAAAACTTGATATTTTCACAGCACAGTGACCTGCAAACGAGATTGGCGCTACGGTAAACTTGGTAGTTATTTTTTTGGCAAATCCAACACAGGTCTGTCATCCGTTTTGCCTGGACGATGAATGGTACCAGTGTGCTCCCGAGTTGACGAAAACTTGATATTTTCACAGCACGGTGACCTGCAAACGAGAACACATCCTTAGTAGATAAATTATGAAAAGGTGATCAGTGAAAAGAAAATAGAGAAGTGAAATGGAGCATGGAATTGCTGAATATCGGACACCAAATTGTATTACTTGACACCAGTCGCATTTCCTTTTTGGGTACGTGTGTGTGGTGGTGGGGGTGTATATGCCTATTGCAATTCACAATCAGTGTTATGCTGTGACCACTGACCTGAACAGTAATTAAGTTTATTCATTAATCCATACCTGCTACTGTCATTCCAGATCTATAGAGACGGAACGCGGACACCTTGGTTGTGTTAGTGGGCAACAATTTCATCATAAAATCTTTGTAGCCTGGAATGCGACCTGGCAGGATTATGGCATGATCTTCCGCGTAATTTGAGATGAATTTGACCACTCGCTGTATGTCGTCATGACTAAGATAGCGGGCTGTTTTTCTTCTTCCACCACTCTTTTTCACCTTTGGTGTAAGGCCATGCTTTTTATACCAATCAATGCAGTCAGTAAGATGATTCAGGGAAATGCTGAAAATAAAAAGAGTATGACATAAAACTATGTTCTTCATTTTTATGCAGGTGGGGTGAGATAAAGCTGAAATGAAATGAAAATGTGCTTAACCTTCTACTGTTCTGCTCCGAACTGGGCTAATGAATACGGACATACACCATACAGTAAGCTGTAAGAGAGGTTTTGCACGGGCAGCGGCGCTACGGTATGCTCTTCTATCGAATTCTACCTGCAAAGGGATCTTTTATGTGCACGCAAATGTGTACACGGGACCTCGTTTTTTTGTCCCATCCGAACGACTAGGCAACTGTCCTTGCCACCGTGGTCCCAAGATAAAGCTATGGTAATGACGTGTTTTAATATCTGATTGACTTTAGATTTATACACAGTGTTGAAGGTCATGAGACGAAGACGCCTATTAATTTTCAGCAATTTCTGATAATTACTGCCAGAGTTATGGCCCTTGATCACTTTGAAAAATCTTGTGGACGCTCTAGAGGCTACAGTTAATATCCGATTGACTTTAAATTTATACACAGTGTTTGACAGGGTTCGTACGCTTCCTGGAAAACCTGGAAAGTCATGGAATTCCACCTATGAAAATTCCAGGCCTGGAAAACCTGGAATATGAGTATCTTATCATGGAAAGTCATGAAATTTTCACCTCCGTCCAGTAATCACCCTTTCTCCGAAATTTGATCCATTTATTCAATTTGTAAAACTTATACGAAAGAAAAGCATGGTAGAGAAAAATAGATCCAAGAGTAGACAAACTTTCGTACCGTAGTCTTTTTTTTTTTCAGACGCAACAGTCATTGGCTTGACAATCAATTTTTGGGCTTGATAATCCGGACTATGTCCTGTAGCAGTCTCACAGACTTGGCTGAATTATCTCCCTTTCAGTTACTCGTCTGCTAGTCAGAGTTCAACTAGTTGTGTTTTTGCTTTCGAATAGCGTGATGAATTCTGTTTGATATACCCAAATACAATATTAAAATGCCCGGTAAATGTACATTTCAAGACTGTTGGATGACAAAAACCGATTTCTGTTCATGGTTAATGTGTGACAAAACTAATTCACGAAAAGCCCGATGTTGCGCATGTCAGAAGTCTTTTGATATATCTAATATGGGGGAAGCAGCTGTAAAGAGCCACATGAAGGGCGAAAAACATTTAGTTAATTACAGAAAATTAAAAGAGTGTGGTCAGAATCCTATTGGTCAGTTTTTTGTCCCATCTTCAGGTCAAACAGGGGGTAGTACAACTGAACTTTCAACAGAAAGGTCTAGTTCACGTTGTGATAGTTTCGGCACTAAAACCGAAAGTAGGAAATCCCAATCATTGACTTCGTTCATTTCAAAGGAAGATACAATAAAATCCGAGATATTGTGGACTCTGCACAATATAGAAAACCACCACTCATATAAATCAAACGAAGGCATTGATAAATTATTTAAGAAAATGTTCCCTGATAGCGACATTGCACAGAAATTCACCTGTGGAGAAAAAAAGATGGCCTATTATTGCAACTTTGGTTTAGCACCCCATTTTTCAGATTTGCTAAAAAACAGTGTGAAGAATAAAGATTCTTTTGTACTCCTTTTTGATGAAAGTTTGAATATCAAAACAAAAAATAAACAGCTAGATATACATGTGAGGTACTGGGATAGGGATAATGTGATACCTCAATACTATAACTCCAAGTTTATTGGCCATGCTGCATCACATGAACTTTTAGAACATTTGACCGATTCTGTTCAAGATTTGAACCTGTCTAAACTTGTGCAAGTGTCTATGGATGGACCTAATGTTAATTTAAAATTTTGGGATCTCTTTTCTGATTATATACAAACTAATTATTCTAGTAAAGTCTTGAATATAGGAAGCTGTGGGCTCCATATTATTCACGGTGCATTCAAGGACTTTTCTTCAACTTCTGAGTGGAATCTTGACAGTTTGTTTAGAAGTTGTTACATATTGTTCAAGGACACCCCTGCTCGCAGGGAGGACTATGAAAAATTAATAGGAACTGATAATCATGTTTATGCTTTAAAGTTTTGTAAACATAGATGGTTAGAAAATCTACCAGTAGCTTTAAGAGCTCTTGAGATCATTCCATTACTTGGAAAATACATTGATCAAGTTAACAAGAAAAAAATAACCAACCCCAAAACAGAGTCATATAAAACGATTGTGGAAATGTTAAAAGACCCTCTTTTAGAAGTTAAAATAAACTGTTTTATTTCTATTGCACAAGAAGTTACCCCATTTTTAACCTTGTATCAGACTGACAAACCCATGATTCCATTTCTAGCTGAGGACTTGTATCTGCTGTTGAAGGGGCTAATGGGAAGGGTGATTAAATCAGATGTACTAAGTAAAAGTGGGGGTACTGCTTACTCATTACTGAAGATTGACATAAATGACAGAAATAATCAGTGTGAAATAAAGAAAGTTGACATTGGATTTGTGGGAAATAAACTATTGAAATCACTTGTGTCCGACAAAAAAGTAAACGAACAACAATTTCTCGACATAAGAGCTCAGGCAAGGGCTTCAGTTATCAAAATGATTTCTAAAATCCAAGAAAAATGTCCCCTGAAATATACACTTGTGAGGTGCATGAAATGTTTAGATCCTAGGCAAATGTGTAATGACAAAGATTTTTGTGTAGAGAAATTGGAAAGAATACTTGGCATTCTTGTTAATCATAAAAAGATCAATGAGTTAGAATGTGACACAATAAAACATGAATTTTCTACATTTTTGACCCAAGATTTACCAGGATATTCTTCTTTGTTTAACGATTTCAATTATAAAGAACAACGAGTTGATAATCTTTTCTATAACTGCTTCTCATCAAAACAACAATATAGTAACATTTGGTCTGTCATTCAGTTACTTTTAATCTTGTCATATGGACAAGCATCTGTTGAGCGTGGATTTTCTGTAAATAAAGAGGTCTATAAAGATAATATGGACGAAAAATCTTTTATTGCGCAAAGACAAGTCATAGATCATATTCAGTCTGTTGGGGGAGCTTTAAATGTTGACATCAATAAAAAACTAGTCATGTCAGTCAGTTCTGCAAGTCAAAACTATGTCATTTTTGGATAAACAAAAAAATGACAGAGAAAAGGAGAAACTTTCATTGAAAAAATGATCCTTGTTAGAGGAAATTGATGAAATGAAAATTAAAAAATGCAGACTTGAAAGTGATTCAGGAGCTTTATTCAAGTCTGCTGATGACTTGGCCAACAAGGCAGAGTCTGTTGGTTCTGTTACTGAAATCAGACATTTAATTGCAAAATCCAATAGCCACAGAGAATCGGCAAAAGTCAAAGAATCTGAACTGGACAAATTGGATTTATTAAAAAATTAAACGAATATAAGTCAAACTAATTTAGTTAAAGTACTGGACATTGTTTTGTTCTCTGTTCTATTTTGGATTAATTTGTTTACAGTGAATAATTGAACTTTGTTTAAAGTACTTGATGCTTTATGATAACTTTTACTACTCAGATTGTAGCCCGACTTTTATTTGGTAATTTAAGTGAATACTGTTATTAATAAAAGTTTCATAATTTGCAAGAAGTTGATTTCTTTGCATGACGATGTAGATTAGCTTATTTGTGCAGATTTAATTCAGTAAACATGCATTGACAAACTTCAGTGCAATGCTCTAATTTTGGTCCTGGAAAATGCTCTTTTTGGTCCTGGAAAGTCATGGAAAAGTCATGGAATTTCATTCACATTTTAGTGTACGAACCCTGGTTTGAGGCCATGAGATGAAGAATCAATTGATTTTCAACGATTTCGGATAATTACTGCCAGAGTTATGGCCCATGATCACTTTGAAAAATCTTGTGACGCTCTAGAGGCTAAAGTTATCATCCGATTGACTTCAGATTGATACACAGAGTTTAAGGTCTTGAGACGAACGAGTATATTGATTTTCAATGAATCTTTATGACTTGAACAGCTAAATAAATCCATGATGTTAAAAAGTTTCATATATACTAAACGTTAGCATGGGGCAGAACTTTATAAAAACCAAACAAATTCTAATGGTTTTTTGATAATTACTTAATGAGTTGTTACTCTAAATCAGATTTGAATGTATTATAAATGTTTCATTACCGAAAAAAGTAAAAATATGCAACAACTCTTGTTGACTGCCCGGACGATATAGCTGTTGTGGGCGTATGTTTCGTTGCCTGGCAACCTGTCTTTGGATTTTTTTAAAACAAACTACATATATGACAAATATATGACACTGCTTAGACAATTCATAATAGAACGAAGATTGCTGTTTAAAAATTATTTCACATGATAAAAAAAAAATCTGGAACATGTACTTTAAAAAAAAACAAA